CATCCTCACTACTTTCCTCTATATTTCCCTCAAACGGGATCGGAACATACTCCGGCCACAAGGCCGGTGTCCAGATAGGTTTATTTCTACGCTTCTTCTGGTTATCTTCCTCCATTTCCTTTTCATTTTCCGTTCCATTACTCACTTCTGATTCTGAATCACCTGTGGTATACTTTTGTTTACAATTTTTGAGAGTTTTCTTTCGGTCCTTATCCGCTTCTTCCTTGAATCTCCAAATTGATTCCTCCATCCTGTCTACATGTACTTTATGTTGCTCCGTTCCTCCACATTTCCTCACTCGGCACGTGACGGGCATGACCAATTCCAAGATTCTATATGGTCCTAACCAATCTTCCGGCAATTCCATCATTGTCTGTATCAATACTTCATCTCCTACTCTAAACGTGTGCTCCTTCGTGTTACTATAGGATTTGTCATTCCTGATTTTTTTCGCCTTCTTCGTATTGGGGTACATTCTCTTTTCTATCAAGCTGTCTGTCTTTCATCTTGGCTTTGAAGTACTGTCTTTTGACCTTGAGGTTTCCTTGTGGGGTGTGTTCTCGAACTGGCTCTGGTCATCTACTGATTTTTCTAACTTCACCTTTTTCTTCGGTTTTTCCTTCTTCAACTTCTCCTCTTCTTTAGTAGCAATTGGTTTCTTCTCTTTCGCTCCGTCCATTTGTTCTCCCATGGTCTGTTGTTTTCCTTGTTGGACATTATTTTTCTCGACTCTAGGGCTAAATCTTCTTGGTCATTCGATGTGGCATTCAGATCCTCCTTCGCATCTAAAGTTTCTCTACTCTGTGGTGTGTCTTTAATTTTCCTTTCTTTCAGGACATCTAATTTCTGTGCCTTTTGAACTTTCTCTCTCTTTGAAGTGTTATCCCCTTTTTGCTGGCTTCCTCTTGTGCGCCGATTCTTTCTATCCTCTAGATGAAATCTCTCCACTTCTGTAATCCTATTTTTCCATTCCCTTTTTTCTGTCTTCGGCTGTCTCTCCTGTCTTCTAGACGGTTTGTTTCCTCTTTAACTATTCGATTTGTTTTTTCTCGTGGTGTATCTCTTCTTCGTGTCGTCGTGTCTTGTCATAGATGTTGGAGCTCGATCATTTCCAAAGTAAGTTCGTGTTACCTCATTAACTCATCCGTTATGGAAACGATATTCCTGTTCTTGCTCCTCTAGTGAGAAATGTCATAAAATAGTTTCCCAAGTGTAAACCCATGTGTCTCCCGTAATCAATACGTGCCAAGCTTCCTCGTAGGAAATCTCTTCCTAAAATAATGTGAGCGCTTCCAAAAATTTCATCGTCGCTCACTGTAGCTCTCCAATGTTTACTCCAATTTTTTTCATACGCTAGTGAAAAATTTCCTACGTATTTTCCAAACTATTTGTTCGACTAATCTCAGTATTTTCAACCAATCTCACCTCATATGAATTTGCTACCGATTCTTTACACCTAGTAACTTCCTAGAAAAGTTTTTTTGCTTCTCTGCGAATTCCTTCTCTATGTAAAAATATAAATAGATATCAATTCGAATTTTTTCCCACCGCTGTCAACACTGTAGTAAATCGGGCACGGCTTTACTATTATTATTATATATACGTATACCACTGAAACATCTATGATTTTAGCTGAGTCACCAGTAATATAATACGTCATTAACTGTCTATCAACCCTTGGTAACCCTTTCACTATTGCCGTGTTTGTTTTATTTAAATAAAATTTTGCAGCTGCTGTCACCAGATGCGAATTTCTCCACATCAAATTTTGGATGTCAGGCAAGTCCGAAAGAGGCTTGAATTCCGCCTCCTGCACTAGGAGGAGGTCTTTAGTTGCAGAGAGAAGAGATCTTAAAAAAAATCGCAGACACTTCCAGACTGCTGCCTTAAGCGAAGAGCTCCCAGAACTCCACATAATACTGATTGTAAACAACTTGTTTCTGTAGTCTGTGCAGAACTCTCTGTCTTTTCTCCTTTCAAAAGCCAGGAAGACCATCACGAGTACCTCGCCTCTCGCGTTTTTTCAAACTGTTATCTTTTCATCGTTGCCCCCGTACGTCGTAGGTCATCAAGAACATATTTAGATAAGTTCACAAAACTTTTAATTCTGGGATATTGATATGCCCATATTAACATTTCGAGCTACGTGATAATTATATCTGTCTGGGCATCTTTTCACGCCGATGAATTGTGTTTATATTAACACTCTCGGTCCCTCGGCCATAATTTAACGTTTTATGAGAGACAGTTACGGCGTTTAAAAATAATCTGAATTGAAGAAATCTGTCTCTTCCTGAATTCAGAATTTATATTACCATACATAGCTTTCGCCAGGTATAACTCTGATGGTAGAGAAGAACTACATCAGACTCATTAGCTTGTATGAGCCTGGGGATGGAGAATGAATAGTTCAAATAACTTCGACACTCCGGATTCAATATTCCCAGAAACGTAGGGCAACGCCGGTATCTCGTCTAAACGAGTAAAGAAAAAATTACATCCGCCTGAGTTGAAGCAAACTATTTCTCCCACTGTAGCAAACAACAAGGTTGTTCAATCACATGTTTTCCAGACGATTTAGATATTTTCTAGAATTATTTATACCAGGTACCAGCTTACCTTCTTTTCCATAACATCCAAATATAATCCCTTTAAAAGCATACTTGAAACGACTGAAATCAACGATCAGATCACAATCTAAGAAACCTGAAACACTGTACACAAAAAAATTTAAAATTAATACTTTTTTCCAAAATAACATGATGTTTGCTTTCCAAAGATTCATCCAATACAGAGTTGGATATGCCTAAACATGATAAATTTCGAATAAGTGCAGGTTTAATATGACAGGTAAATTGAGCCTCTTGTGGGTAATTTCCATAATAGTAAAATCGTGTACAAACCTACTTACATTATTATACAGTAATTGGTTGGTGAGTAGATGAAACATATACAAACTAGGAGATTATAATTATTTATGGGACAAAAGTGAGAAATATTACTCTGGTGGTAGATATAATTCATTTTATTCCAGAGGATAAGCACGCATTTTCTCAATCGAAGAACGTTTTATAACGATAGGTAACGTATGTGTGATTCACGCACCCATTATATGAAGTACGTGAAGGAACAAAAACATCAGTTCAATTTTGACGAAATCAGAATGTTAGGTAGTTTAAAGAAATATTCGTATGATACTAGCAATGCTCGAAATAAACAATGTTAAAAATCGATATTCATATGTAATACTTGAACAATGATGTCTCAAATTTCTACTTCACTGGACATATTTTTTGTTTTCTTTTCACTGAATAATAATTTTCTCAATCGCCGGCATTTCTCGTGTTATTCTATGTTTCAAGTTCCAACATGCATATTTGTTCGCAGGTTCTATTCAGTAGGCCTCGTTTTCGAAATTATTTCATAGAAAAAATTGGGGTAAGGTCAGGTCATCGATTTCAGAATACCGTATGTAAATCTTTTCTTACATGATATCTAAAATGTGGAGGTGATGCATTCCGTTTGGATTGACTGGATTAGGAAATGAATTTGTTGGTAAAAGGAAATAAATTTCAAAAATTTGAGAAATTATGTGGAACACGGTTCTAACTTGTACTTTTATTCAAACCGCCAGGGCGCTCTGCTTAAAACTATGACATCTCCCCTCCCTTTTGACAAGTTTTGAGAAAGACCATTACATGTCAGTTAGCATATTGTGAAGTCGCTTCAGAAAGTTCGTTTGTTTTGTGAAAGACTATTATATCTCAAAAAGTGGACAGTGAAGAAAAGAGTTTCATCGCACTTTTCTGAGCAAAACTATTACAAACCAAAATATAACTGTCTTCCCGAAAAAGGTAAGCAGTCTGCTAACTACTATTTTTTGTGCAATAGTATTACATTTTGACTTATTACACTCTTTCATAAACGAATGTTATTCAATTTTAAGATAAACACTTAAGTCCAGTGTTGTTATAGTTTTGAACAAAATATTTCAGGTCGTTATCTAATTGTAATTCAAAATGTGACAGTCTTGCATAAAAGTTATAGATAATCTTTTAAAAATTATTATATTAGAGTCTCGAACAAATTGGAATGAAACCCTGTTCATAATTACGAAAATTTTGCATTAACCGACAATACGTGAACATCGGGCAATAACTCAATGAAAACATGATTCTGTAATATTGACTGTACTCGAGAATGAGTCAGTAACGTAGTTTTTTTTTTCTCCTCTCTGAATGAATCCAGATTAGCAACTTTTGTAAGCTACTGAGAACTGTTTTTTCTTTGGTTTCATTCTATGTTCTATTGTTCCGTATTTTCAGCTATAAAATTTTACTATGTTTACATCTCAAATGAATTCGTATTTTCAAGGACAAACAATAATTTCTTTTCGAATTTTTGCCATTTTAGTGTACTAACTAACATGAAACTAACGTATAATTTTTTTTCTTTTTATAAATACTAGACCCGTATTTTACTTGTGACTAACGAATTTTCTCACTAAACACGTTAAGATTACTTAAATTTATACACTACATAATAGTTGTAATTTACGTAATTAAGTTTAACTCTTTAACGTTCCGTACAGTTCTTTGTATTTTGTAGCCGTATTTTTTTTACTTTCCTTATTTTCACAACAATAATCCACGATAAAACATCTTTTCTTTTCGTCCTTTAACATTGAAAATTGCTTTTTTGAACTGTTTGAAACAAAATTTCATTAGGTTTAGACGCATTTTTTTTTCTCTCCACAAGTAAATAGTGTTCGTATTAATCGGATTTTCGGATTAGCGCGACTCTGCTGTATTTTTTTTCAATTTTTTATTCCATCTTTTTTTTTCTTTTTCTTTTAGAAATGGGATTCCAATGTTGTAATGATATAAATGCACCTACCTAGGAGTCCCCAAATTAAAAATTAACAAATCTCATAATTTTAGGATTAGTTTAATCTTCACCCCAGTAAGCAAATATTGGTACTTTTTTCAGGAAATGAAGGNCCCGAATGGAAAGTCATTACTGCCGGTCTGAATCAAAGATGGAATATATAGAAGGAGGGAAAACTGTGAGAGACCTTCATCGAGATTATGTGGAGTTATGTGAAGAAGTGAAGAAACCACATGTCAATTACCTGATGTATTATAAGATTTTCAAGGAGGAGTTTAATATCCCCTTTTTCGTTCCCAAAAAAGACGCTTGTGACTATTGTGAAGGTTTTCGAAATTGCACAGAAGAAGAGAAACAAAACCTGCTGGAAGACTATAGCAAACACATACAAGAGAAAGATCTAGCAAGAATTGAGAAGTCAACTGACAAGGAATCACCCAATGCTGTCGTGGCAGTATACGATTTACAAGCAGCTCTTCCATGCCCGCAAGGTGATTCCTCTTCATTTTATTATGTATCAAAATTGAACGTTTACAATCTATCAATTTATGAATTGAAAACGACTGACGCTTTCTGCTACATGTGGCATGAAGGTCTTGCAAACAGGGGGGCCATTGAAATAGGTTCCTGCGTTTGGTCCTATTTGCAAACTTGTAACGAAAAAGCGACTGGAAAAATAGATATTATTTTCTACTCAGATAATTGTGTGGGGCGAAACAAAAATCGGTATATTTTTGCTTTGTATATCAATGCTGTTTCAGTTTTCGAAAATATAAATTCCATCACGCACAAATTTCTTGTAGCCGGGCACACGCAAAATGAAGGGGATCACATTCATTCTGTAATTGAACGGTCAATCAGGCAGTTTAAAAAAAGAGCTCCCATCTACGTACCAGAGCAGTATTTAAGCTTGGTCAGGCAAGCTAAAAAGAATGGTAAGCCGTATATTGTCCATGAAATGGGTTTTGAAGATTTTTTTCGATTTCAAAGAATTGTCAAAGGACATGGGAATGAAGGAAATTTTTAAAAACGAGAATAATGAAACAATTCGCATTGCTGATGTGAGCGTTGTTAAGGTAACCAAGGCAAACCCTGGACATCTTCTAGTTAAAACGTCGTATGCGCAATCGGAATTCATGTGCATAGATGTTTTGCAGCAGAAACAGCGTGGTGTCAAGCGTGTTTCTTCAATTCCTGAACAGGGTACATTTGGACCTTTGAAAAGGGCTTACAAGAAGAAGGTAGGAATAAGTGAGAAAAAAAAAGAAAGGTTTGTTGGCTCTTTTTGCTAAGACTAAAAAATCTGTCGCTGTCATGCCTCAGTATTATAAGACGTTTTTTGATAACTTATAATTGCTTATATTTATTTTATTTTTCAAGTGAGGTTATGTTATTGTAATTGTACTATTAATTTTTTTCTACAATGACATGTTTGTTTTCATTATTTTTTAATTTGTTTAGAAGATTGTCAACAACTTACTAATTGAAAAATAGCCGTAACATCTAATACTAATGTATTTGAACTTTTTGACCAATTAACTGGGCCAAAAGAGTTTCATTGTTTACAAAAAATACATTTGGGATCACTTTTGGTCCAATCATGTAAAACATCTAAATATGCCTATATTGCCAGTGAACCTGTCCTAGGGAAGATGAAAAATACTCTGTGAACTCTGTACGAACTAGATCTGCAGCCTTTGGGTGGTTTCTGCTTTTTGTTGCCTGTAGAGGAAGTAAGTTCCCATCAGGAACACCTCCTTCTGAACGCCAGGATCCATCAGTCACGATACCATTGTCTTCCATGTCAAATGTTCCTAGGGGGGCATACCTCTTAACGGACTCTTTTCCTTGCATTAGATAATTATGCAACGTAAGGAT